GGCGGCAGCGGCAGCCGCGGCGGCGGCGGCAGCGGCGGCAGCGGCGGCGGCGGCGGCAGCGGCGGCGGCGGCGGCGGCGGCGGCGGCGGCGGCGGCGGCGGCGGCGGCGGCGGCGGCGGCGGCGGCGGCGGCGGCGGCGGCGACGGCGGCGCTGTCGTTGGCCCCTTCTCGACCCTCCAGGCACCGCCCGCTGCGATGCTCGCTTTGACACCGTGTGATGGCACAGAGAGCTACTTCGGCGTGATTACTTCTTAATTACACGATCTCGACGCACTACTCTTTCCAGCAGTCGATCCTGCTAGGTGGGTCCGTGGAGATGCAGTGCTGCCTTCGGACTGCCGTCGCTGTCTCCCCCTTCTCGACTGCCTGTGCCTGTGCGTCTTGGGCGCGGGGTTGTGCTTGTGCGTGGAGATGCGTGGGGATAGCCTCGCCCTGGCCCCGCCACCGTTGTGTGTGTGGGTGGCGGCGTCGGCCTCACCTCCCATGATGCGCAGCAGGCCCCTACCCCCGCAGTACCCGAACCCACCCTCCGCCACCGCTGTGTGTGTGGGTGGCGGCGTCGGCCTAACCTCCCATGATTCCGAGCAGGCCGCCGCCGTCGCGCTCCCCCTCCTCTCTTGCGCCGCCGCCGCCGTGTGCGCATGCCGGCAACGCCGCTATATATATATATATATAGAGAGAGAGAGAGGGAGCGAGAGAGAGAGGGGAGAACGAGAGGGGCGAAGCGCCGTGCGCGCATGCCGGCAGCCGCCGCGACGACGAGAGAGATAGAGAGGCGAACAGCCGTCAGACCGACGGCAGCCGGGACACCACACCGCGCCGCCGGAGGTATGGGGTGGAGAGGCAGGGCGGGGGGTGACGGCTACACAGGAGCGACACGCACACCACACAAGGCAAAGGCACTGGCCGCTGGTCCGGCCCCTCCTCGCTGACGGCGCACGGCGTGTGGCAACACGGGCGCGTTTTCTTTTCTTGGATAGGCAGCCGCGGCTGGCGCGGCTCACGGCGCTGCACGCGGCGAGATATAGCCGGGATACAGCCGAGATGCGATCGAGATTGCAGCGAGGTACAGCTGAGATACAACCAGGAGACAGGCGGGATGCAACCGAGATGTAGCCGAGGTACAGCCGAGGTACAGCCGAGGTGCGTACGTTTCTCGTGATTAATGCCGTGAACAGCGTCTCTTCACAGTGCCGCGCGTGTGAACAGGCGCACGCCGTCGCGCGGGTTCTGTGGCCCAGCCGCGCGCACGCCTACAACCGGCGCAACCTCGGCAGTTTCGCGCTCGAGTTGCGGCCGTCGCGCTCCTCCTTCCAGCGGGTTGGCACCCGCGAGGTGTGATCTCTCATACCGGGCTGGAGGTTTAGGCATTGTAAGGTAAGGTAAGGTCAGGTAGATTTCTCCACACACACAAAGTGGTGGGGCAACCAGGGGGGGCGACCCTCGCATCTCCACACCCGGACTAGGCATTGTGGGGTTGGCACTCCCATGAGATCATCGACCCGCTCTCGGAGAATTTTACTATACAAGCCCCTCTCACAGCAGACTGGCTCGGACTGTGGCCAGGGAACTCTCAATCTCTCATACAGTACGCGCCAGTAGACTAGCTAGCCACTAGCGCGTAGCGCCAGGAGGTGTTTTAAATTTCTCTTTTCAATACAAGGTAAAGGGTTGAGGAAATCGGGGTGTGCGTGCGGGCTCGTGTGCGTGCGGCCGTCTTTGTCCGGAGTGAATACTCCAACGCGCTTGTCGGCGTGACGGCGTCCCCCAACCTGCGCCGCGCTCGGCGAACCCTCGACAGCGCCTTCGGTGGCATGCATCTCTTTGCGCCTGAAGCCTGGAGAGCAGCTCCTCTGCTGCTCACACACTCTGTGCACAGTTGGCACAGCCTACTGTGCGGCTGCCACACAGCTGTGACAGCGATATATGGGCTCGCCTTCACTGGCCCTCGGTCACTTGTGCTGCGGCTTGTGTGAGCGACACTGCTCGGCGACTGCCGGCACACTGTGAGACCATGGGTGTGAGGTTAAACCACGCTACCAGCGCTTGGTCACATGCTCCTATCGGCCCCGAGGTCAGATCCTTCTACTCTGTTGATGACAAGACTTGTCTACTGGCTGGAGCCGAGCAGGAGGGCCCAGCGCACAACCCCTGGTCAACTCAGGGTCCACCCTGTCGCCCCCCCCAGCACTCCAAGGTGCCAAGAGAACACACAGGCGAGGGGCACAACAACACAGGAAGTGGCATGTGAGGCTTAGCAGGCTTGCTCCGCCTCTAGCAATCTCGCCGCTAGCCGCAAGGCACGGGCGAGACCGCGTGTGTGGGGTCATGTGAGGTGTCTATGGACGCCCTCCTCAGAGGGTAGCTGCCTACTGCTAGCCCTATCTCGCTCGCACTCACGGGCAGTGACAATTCGATGGGTGAGTGTTTGCGAGCAGAGGCGCGTCGACTAAATCTACACACTGATTGATTGATGGGAAGGCGAAACACAGTCCGACCAACGACTGGGACACCAACGCGGTATGGGTGGACGCAGGACGGGTATGTATGTAGAAAGATGAACAACAGTCAGGCTCGGACTGGACACCAACGCGGTATGGGTGGACGCGAGACAGATGATGACGACACGCACGGGCGATAACTACCTCCCCTACCTAGGTGCAAGCTGAACCCACTAAGTTGGGTCGCGTTTTTGCTTCGAAACCAACCTATGCCCTCCGCTTACCCTCGCCTGCTCCAGCCCATCACGCTCCGCGGCGGCGCCGTGCTACGCAACCGTGCCTTGATGGGCTCCATGCACACCGGTCTCGAGGAGGCGACAGCGCCGCCGTCAGAAGGCGGCGTTCGGTGCTCACGCCCTCTCACCCCCGGCCGCACCTCGCAGGGCGAAGGGTGGGGCCACTCGCTCGAGAAGATGGGCGCGTTCTTCGCCGAGCGGGCGCGCGGCGGCGTGGGCCTGATGGTGACGGGCGGGATCGCGCCCAACGCCGCCGGGCGGGTTGCGCCGTTTGCCGCGACGATGGCCTCCTCCTCCGACGCACGCCGTCACCGCACTGTCACCGAGATGGTGCACGAGGCGCCGCTGCGGAGATGCTCCGGCGCGGCTGCCGCGGGCGGGCGGCGGCTCACCGCCCTTTCACTGGCGTGCGAGTAGGTGGGCGGCGCAAAGATAGCGATGCAGCTGCTGCACGCGGGGAGGTGCGCCTAAGGATTCCTATTTAGACGCGGGATGCGCAGACGTGAAGTCCACCCAGAGCTCGAGAGGACACGTACTCACCTGTACCCACCTGCATTCCGCCATCTTCTCTGTCTTCGCACCCCTCGTGCTCACGCGGTGCTCTGAATTCACTGCACAATACCGCCCCCCCGCCCTCACCCCGGTGTATTTCTTCTACCTCGGAGGTACGCTTACCAGCCGTCGGCCGTCGCGCCGTCCGCGAAGAAGGCGCCGATCGGCTGGTTCACGCCGCACGCGCTGAGCAGCGCGCAGGTCGAGGCCACGATCGGCGATTTTGCTGCGGCCGCGGCGCTGGCGCACGAGGCTGGCTACGACGGCGTGGAGGTAATGGGCGCACACACACACACACACACACACACACACACACACACACAGAGAGAGAGAGAGAGAGAGAGAGAGAGAGAGAGAGAGAGAGAGAGAGAGAGAGAGAGAGAGAGAGAGAGAGAGAGAGAGAGAGAGAGAGACTCGCACACACACACACACACACACACACACACACACACACACACACACACACACACACACACACACACACACACACACACACGCACACACACACACACACACACACACGCCGCTCACCCACGCGCACTGGGTCTTGCACGTTGAATGCCGTGGGGCACTTTGAATGCCGTGGGGCTCCTGTCGTCTAGACGTGGAGACGCGAGGGACTAGCCCGGCCCTCGCCCCGCCACCCTCGTGTGTGTGTGGCGAAGTGCGCCTTGGAGACGCGAGGGTCGCCCCCCCCTTGCCCCGCCACTTTGTGTGTGTGGAGAAGTGTACCTCACCGTACCTTAGGTGATGGGTTCGGAGGGCTACCTGATCAACCAGTTCCTGGTCACGCGGACCAACCACAGGAGCGTTAATGAAGTGTTAATTAGTACTAATTGATGAAACGCGTACCAACCACAGGAGCGTTAATGAAGTACTGATTAACGCGACGCCGGCTCCCTCGCCAGTCTGTTAATTAGTTAATACTTCAGAACCACAGGAGCGACGCGTGGGGCGGCTCATTCTCCAACCGGATGCGGCTCCCGGTGGAGATCGTGCGCGCGGTGCGGGGCGCCGTGTCGGCCGCGACGTCATCCTCCTCTTTCGCCTCTCGGTGCTCGTTCATCAAGTGATGCGTCAGTCATTGATGGATAGGCCGACTTCATCCTCATCTTTCGCCTCTCGATGCTTGACTTGGTGCGGGGGGCGGTTCGGGCTTGGGAGGAGGTGTGAACGGCGTCTCTTCACGCCCGCAGCTGTGAACAGGTGCGGGATGGCTCGAGCTGGGAGGAGGTTGTCGAGCTCGCGCAGGCGGTCGGGGGGGGGTACAAGGGGGTACAGAGAGGGGGGGGAAGGGTTATATTAGAGTACAGAGGTAGTCGAGCTCGCGCAGGCGGTCGGGGGGGTATACGGGGGTACAGAGAGGGGGCAAGGGCTACAGAGGTAGGCGTTTCGCGCAGGCGGTTGAGGAGGCTGGCGCCACGATCATCAACACTGGGATCGGGTGGCACGAGGCGCGCGTGTGGAGCGGTCGCGACGTTTGGTGCCTCGCCACTAATGAGTGAGCTGTTCGCTCTTTCATTCATCCATAGGCGCGCGTGCCGGCGGTCGCAACGTCTGGCGCCTCGCTAAGCATCCACTACTTCATTTTTTAACAATAACAGGCCAGTCCGCCTCGAAGCCAGCTGTGCTGTACCGCTCGCCTTATTAATCAACAGTTATTTAATTAATTCATAGGCGCGCGTGCCGACGATCGCGACGTCTGTGCCTCGCGGCGGATTCGCTTGGGTGACGCAGAAGCTGAAGGGGCACGGGCTCTCCATCCCGCTAGTGGCGACCAACCGCATCAACACGCCCGAGGTTGCGGAGGCGGTGCTCGCGTCGGGGCAGGCGGGCACGGTCAAACCACTCGCCTAGTTCTGCACCCAAGTAAGCGCTAGCTGCTCGCGTCGGGGCAGGCGGACATGGTGTCGATGGCGCGTCCGCTGCTCGCCGACCCAGATTTCGTCAACAAGGCGCGAGATGGCACGAGATCGCACGAGGTTGCACGAGATTGCACCGACTTCACCGGTACTTGGCCTCGCACTTTGAATGCCGTGGGGCTCCCGTCGTGTAGACGCGGAGTCGCGAGGGCTTAGCCTGGCTCCTGCCCAACCATGCCCAGTCCTTGCGTGTGTGGAGAAGTTGACCTTACCTTACTCGTCCTTAGGCGGCCGCGGGGACGCCGCAGCTGATCAACACTTGCATCGCCTGCAACCAGGCCTGCCTCGACCACACCTTCAAGACGCAGCGCGCCTCCTGCGCTATCTCCCCATATCTCCCCATACCTCCCCATACCTCCCCACCTCTCCCCATATCTCCCCCTACCTCCCCACCTCTCGACCAGGCCTGCCTCGACCACACGTTCAAGATGCAGCGCGCCTCCTGCCTCGTCAACCCGCGCGCCGGCTACGAGACGGAGCTGAACTACACACCGACGGAGGTACTCTCGGGTACTCTCGGGTACTCTCGGGTACTCTCGGGTAATCTCGGGTACTCTCGGGTACTCTCGGGTACTCTCGGGTACTCTCGGGTACTCTCGGGTACTCTCGGGTAATCTCGGGTAATCTCGGGTCCTCTCGGGTCCTCTCGGGTAATCTCCGGCGGAGGAAGTCCCTCAGCCCTGGCGGTGGGGTCGGCGCCTGGGAAAGGGAAGGGCGACGGAGAGACAGAAAAGAAACACCTCCCGCCGCAGGCGCCGCTCAACCTGGCGGTGGTCGGCGCCGGTCCGGCTGGCCTCGCTTGCGCCACGGTGGCCGCAGAGCGTGGCCACAAGGTCACGCTCTTTGACCGCTCGCCGTCCATCGGCGGCCAGTTCAACCTCGCCAAGCAGGTGCGGATGCATGAGTAGCTGATGCATTCGTAGCTGGTTCATTAGCAACCTCGCCAAGCAGGTGCGGATGCATGAGTAGCTGATGCATTCTCTTGCTGGTCCATTAGCAACCTCGCCAAGCAGGTGCCCGAGAGTACCCTAGATTACCCGAGAGTACCCGAGAGGACCCGAGATTACCCGAGATTACCCGAGATTACCCGAGATTACCCGAGATTACCCGAGACTACCCGAGACTACCCGAGACTACCCGAGACTACCCGAGATTACCCGAGATTACCCGAGCTTCTCGCCACGCAGGTGCCCGGCAAGGAGGAGTTCTACGAGACCCTGCGGTACTTTACGCACAAGCTGGCCGCCCTCCCTACCATCTCGCTGCAGCTGGCGACGGAGGCGGACGCATCGACGCTCGCGGGCTACGACCGGGTCGCCCTGGCGAGGGGGCGTGGCCCTTCGCGGTTCACGACTTCAGTCTTGCCGGAGGGAGTGGATGGATAGGTCGCCCTCGCGACGGGCGCGGCTGCTCGCTCGTTGCGAAGTACTTAGAAGTTGGTGAGTTCACGTTCACAGGTCGTCCTCGCGACGGGCGTCGTCCCCCGCTCGCTCTCGCTCCCCGGATGGGATCACCCAAAGGTGGCCTCGTATGTCGACGTGCTGCAGCGGCGGGCCGCCTCACTCAGTGACTAGTTGTGCATGAAAGGTGGCGCCGTATGTCGACGTGCTGCAGCGGCGGGCCGCCGTCGGCGAGCGCGTTGCCATCGTCGGCGCCGGAGGCATCGGGTTCGACGTTGCAGAGTTTCTGATGCACCGGGCAGACGAGGCGGCGGCGGCGGCGGCCGACGCGCTGACCGCGCCGTCGCTGCCGCAGACGGAGCGAGGGTAGCCGAGAGAGAGCCGAGAGAGTTCAGCGGCCAAGAGATAGCCGAGAGACAGCCGAGAGATAGCCGAGAGACAGCCGAGAGACAGCCGAGAGAGAGCCGAGAGAGAGCCGAGAGACAGCCGAGAGAGAGCCGAGAGACAGCCGAGAGACAGCCGAGAGACAGCCGAGAGACAGCCGAGAGACAGCCGAGAGGCAGCCGAGAGGCAGCCGAGAGGCAGCCGAGAGAGGTTCGCCAAGAGAGAGCCGAGAGACAGCCGCGCAGCCGCCGTCGCAGAGACGGATCACTATCCTCTCCGAGGAGGAGGGGGGAGGGGGTGTGTGCTGTGAACGGCGCCCCTATTCACACCTCTCGCCGTGAACAGGAGCAGTTCCTCGCTGAGTGGGGCATCGACCCCGATGCAATGGCGACGCGCGGCGGGCTGCTTGAGGCGGTAGCAGGAGGCGGCGGCGGAGGCGGCGGCAGTGGCGGCGGAGGCGGCGGCGGCAGTGGCGGAGGAGGCGGCGGCAGCAGTGGCGGCGGCGGCGGCGAGGATGCTGGCAGCCTGGGTCCGCGGAGGAGGCAGATCTACTTGCTGCAACGCAAGAAGGGGAAGCTTGGGGCCGGGCTCGGGCGGACGACTGGGTGGCCCATCTCCCCCCATACCTCCCCATCCCTCCCCCTCTCTCCCCCTCGCTCCCCCTCTCTCCCCCTCGCTCCCCATACCTCCCCATACCTCCCTCTCTCCCCATCTCTCCCAATCTCTCCCAATCTCTCCCCCTCGCTCCCCCTCTCTCCCCATCCCTCCCCCTCTCTCCCAATCTCTCCCAATCTCTCCCCCTCTCTCCCCCTCTCTCCCCCCCTCTCCCCCCCTCTCCCCCTCTCTCCCCCTCTCTACCCCTCTCTCCCCATCTCTCCCAATCTCTCCCAATCTCTCCCAATCTCTCCCCCTCGCTCCCCCTCTCTCCCCATCCCTCCCCCTCTCTCCCCATCTCTCCCAATCTCTCCCCATCTCTCCCGGTCTCTCCCCCTCTCTCCCCCTCTCTCCCCATATCTTTCCATGCCTCCCCATACCTCCCCCTCTCTCCCCATCTCACCCCATCTCTCCCCATCTC